ATTGTTTCTTTGTTTTGTATGCCGGGACAGTATTAGTAGAAAAAAATTATTGAAATTTATTGCGGATGCATATGATTTTTTTAAAATTTATTTTCATTTTATTTTTATACTTTCCCACAATTTATTTTTTAACAAAACAAACAAATAAAATATTATTAAATGACAGACAAAACAGACAATAATAAACCAGTAATAATAATTTTTATTGAGTTTCCGTTGAGATATCAGTTTTCGTGCTTGAAGCAAAAATAACAGTGACAGAATCGACAAAACATAGAACAGTATAACATGATCATTGATAGGAAAATGTCCATCACTTATTTACGATCAATTTTTTTTGTTGATTATGGCGCCAATTTATTTTTGAACACTTTAAATGAGGGAAAAAACATCATGGTCAGTTCGTCGATAAAGGTAAATTAAAATTGTGACAAAAATTGCCATTCATGGATTAACAATACATCCACTGATTATTCTTTTACAATGAAGCTATTTTCCAAAAAAGAAAATGAAAATGAAAATAATAATTATAATGATTCATCACAAAATGAATTAATTTTGACAATTTGTTTTCCTCATATAATAAACAGATACATTTGTTTATTATAACATTTTCGAAAAAATGGCTATTATGAATTAAATGTTTAGTGTTTTATAATAATCATCATTATCATCATCAAAGATTTTCTCGACTGTTTAACACATAACATTTCAATCATAGTGGCCAAATAAAAAAGTGAATGAAACAATGAACAAATTGTTTTTAACAGCCATGTATTACACACATACATACATTTGATATTTTGGAAAATTAAAATTCATGAGACAAACAAATACATTGATAATTGGTTAGGAAGACCAACATCAACATCATTATTATTTATTATCATTATCATCTTCATAATAACCATCATCGACAAGATTTATGATGAAATTCAATTATAATGAGTATGAAAACGATGTTGAATATGAAAAAAACTGAAAAAAAAGAATATTTGTTCATACACTATGTGAACACGATTCAATGGTTTATGTAATTGAACATAAATTTTCATTGAACAAAAAAAAACGGACAATGGTAGAGGATTTTCATACCTGGACTGGATTGATGGATTATGATTATCACGAACTTGAATATGCTTCAAAACAATTTAAACTTTGGTCCAAAGTTTCCCAAATTAAATTTAATTGGCCAGTCGACAATTAACTAACTAACCAGTCAACCAAATATAAATTCAAAAAAAAAGAAAGAAACAAATGTACAAATCGTAGTCATGTTTTTGTCGTTGTATACATCATGTAACATTTTCTTGTTTTTTATTTGTCCACTCTACAACTGCAAACGACGACAACCAAATTATCATTAACAATAAGTTATTTCAAAAAAAATGTCAACAATAACTTTTCTCTCACCTATCTACCTAAAAATTGTGATAATCATGAAATGTACGTCGACAAAAAAAAATATCAATTATAAGAGTGCAAAATAATCTGGATGTAGGAATCTGAAAATAAATCTACACAAACATAAATCTTGAACCAAATCAACAACAATAACAATAACAGCGAGAAAAAGCTACAAGATTATCATTATTACTGATCACATTTTTTTGATATATGAACTCAGTTCTTTCCACGGATATCTTTATATATACAAGTGAATGAACTTCAATTGTCAATTGTTTTTTTGTCGTTTGATTGCCGAACGATATTATCTTTTTCATTTTTTTTTCTTCTAATGTTTGCTTGTTGGCAACGCTGATGATGATGATGATGTTGATGAGGAACATTTGTCCAACATGATCGACAAATGAATTGTTTTTGTTTTTTGTTTTTTGATAACGATCAGGAAGAAGAAGACGAACGATACTAGCTAGGTCAGGATGAACACAATGTCTAGACATTACACGGTAAAATCATCATCATCATCATTCATCCATCCAATTTTCAGGTAAAAAAATGGTCCCTAGGAACATATGATCATTCCATTCGCGTATATCCATCAATTATCATTTTGATGACAATTTCCAATAGATACAGATGTATGTTAATCATGGAAAAAATAGATTCTAGAGATATTTTAAAACAAAAAACAAACAAGGTATAAATGTGATGAATACATGAATCGGAAAAAATGTTTATTATTTATGAGATAAGATTACACCAACGATGGTTGTGACAACAAAAATGACGATTTTTTGTTTTTTGATATTGAAAAAAAAATCTTATTTTCAGTTTTGCAATGTTAAAACAAGAAAATAAACATTTGAATCGAATAAGCTAATTTGATGGCTAATTTGCCTACACATAAACGAAAAAGAATTATCATGATTATGTTTGAAACATTAGGATTTGTGATCATCAATGTCAAACAGCAATGATAACATTTATTTCTAAAACAAAACAAAACAAGCAAGACAAGATTTATAACTGTCTGTTTGTGAATGAAAAAGCAAGATCAAACTTATATCAGGATATGATAACAACAACAACAAAAATCCTGGGACAAAGGCCAAGCATTATTATTATTATTATTATTATTATTGTTTTTTTTGTTGTTAATGGTCACATATAAATTAAAATGTTACCTGTAATTAAAAATAACTAATACAAACACTCACATATACTAAATGGTAACAACAACATAAAAAAATGACAACTAATGATATTTAAAAAAAATTTTGGCTACAATGTCTTTACTTGAGAATGTGAACATTTTTTATCTTTTATTTTTTTTCTTCATCTTCTTAATGTTTTTGTCATGCAATTTAGTAAGAATCATTTGATCTGCTTGTATTAAATGATGATAATAATATTCAAAAGAGATAAAGATAAAGGAATAACAATCCACATCGTCAATCAACAAACACTGATACTGAACAAAACGTCAAACGTAAAAAAAATCAATTTCAAAAAACAAAACAAAAATTAAACAAGAGAAACATAATTTGAAAAAAAAAAATAATTTTTTTCTCGTCCTCGATTTTAATTTCTTTCTTATCAGTTAGTAGTTAATGTGTTGCAAATTTACTGTGGCTATGGCTTATACAGATGTATAAGTTAGTTACGATTCAATCATCTATGTAGGTAGATAAAATGTAAGAGATTTTAACGGACAAAAAAAAAAATAATAATAAAATTTCTGGTGTTTTCTAGGTTCTCAATTACATAACACAACATGAATGAGAATAACAAATATAGAGAGAAAAAACATGTTAATATTGGATATTAAAACAACATTGTTTTATTCAATGTATGTTTTGTTTCTGTTTATCATTATTATCATTATTATTTGTCATCATTATCATCAACATCATTGTTATTGTTGTTTATTATAAGATACAACAACAATAATCAACAAAATTGAACATAGGTAGGATTTTCTTCATATTTTTTTCTGTTTTTCACTCATCTCAACTTTCCTCACCGCCGATTTCTGATAACAACCATGGATCACTATTATGAGCTAATTTTAGATTTTTTTTTTGTTCTTTCCATTCAACAACAACAACAACAACAACCAATGAATCACATGAACAATGATGTCATGATCTGAATAAACAATTCTTGAAATTAACAATAATAATAAGTATTGGTTGGTCCGGTTGTTATTTTTTGTTTGTTTGTTTTGTTCATTTATCGGTATCTACTTGTATTTATTTGTATGCATTTCATCATTTTTTTGTTTCTAATTCAGATTAAAAAGTTGATAAGATTTCATAACCCATAGCTTGTTACAAACATGCATACATTTATTCATATATTTAATCAGTCAAGTATGGAGAACACACGTTTCAAATATGAATACTACCTGGAATTTGTTTTTTTTTGTGTGTGTGTGTGTGTTTGTCTTGTTTTCATCAATGATATGTTTTGGCTAGTTTGATTCATCATTTGTTACTGATATGAGTACACAATTTTTTCCTATGATCATTTCACTCATTTTATGAATACAAACATTCTTCTACATTTTGTTCATGTTTATCTGTGTGCATGCATTGAATATGCCAGCTAATTAATTTAGACAGGATGAACAAACATACAAAACAAAAAAGAAAATTGTTGAATAATATCATTGTCTATTACTGTAGTGATGAATCCAATCTAGATGCTGTTTTTTTGTGGCTAGTTTTGTTGAAAATCTTATACAAAATAACAATCAAAAGAAAAAAGAATTGTATGATGACCATAGATAATCATCATTGTCATCAACATAATCTTTTCAAATTTTTTTTCTCTTGTTTTTGTTTCGAATAAAATACAAACTTCTAAAAAAACAAAAACATGCAGTTATTATCTGCGTACAACGAATATGATGATCATGGTGATGATAAAAAAAATGAAATTAAATAAAAATCATTAAACTGATTTCGTTTTTGGAATCCAACATGCAATGAACAATTTGAAAAAGTTATCTATGTTGTCTCGTTGTTGTTGTGTTTTTTTTGTTGAATAACGATGCACGAACAGTATTTTATTATTTTGTCATTTTTTGTTTTTTGTTTCATTATTGTTGTTGGATGCTTTGTACGATATCTTAATTATACATAGATACAAACAAGGATACGAAAAAAAAGGATGCAAACAACTTGTTGTTGGGTGTTTTTTTGTCATTGTTTTTATCATTGTGGTGTTGTTTCGGATAACTAGCTATCTATGCATTTAAACAATTGAAATCTTTGTTTAATTTCATTTTTGTTTTTTGTTTCATACATTGTAGTTTTTGTTTTGTTTTTACTATTCATTCATTCATCAATTCTTTATTCATTTTTGAGATATTCAAAATTTTGATCTAAATTTTTTTTTAAATTACATTATTATTATTTAGTTTTATCATTATTAATTTTTACTTTTGGCATATTTTGTTTATTTGGTACTTGATCCAGATATACTGGTGGTATTATTAATCGAACTTTAACCAAACGTATTGAGTGTATAATAGAGTCAAGTGGTTTTTATCATCATTTCCAAGTGATATGATTTCTATCGTTTTATCGTCTTATCATTGAGCAGTATTTTGAACAAAACTGTCATCATTGTTATTGTAGAAATTATTTGGCAAAATGATTGGAAAATTTAAAATTCTGCTAATTTATTGTTTATCAATCATTTCAGCTGCTCATTATGTAGCTGATTGGAAATCAATCGACAAACGTCCGTTACCAGAATGGTACGATAATGCTAAAGTTGGTATCTTTATTCATTGGGGAGTATTTTCTGTACCTTCATTTGGTAGTGAATGGTTTTGGCATTCATGGGCATCACATGGTAAATCGTATGATGAATTTATGAATAAAAATTATCGACCAGATTTTACCTATGCTGATTTTGCCAAAGATTTTACAACCGAATTCTTTGATCCAATAGAATGGGCAAGTATATTCAATAAATCCGGTGCACGTTATGTTGTATTGACCAGTAAACATCATGAAGGATATACACTTTGGCCATCAAACTATTCGTTTAATTGGAATGCTAAAGATGTTGGTCCAAATAAAGATTTGGTTGGTGAATTGGCTGAAGCCGTGAGAAAAGTTGGAATACGTTTTGGTCTTTATCATTCACTTTACGAATGGTATAATCCTTTGTATTTACGTGATAAAAAGAATAATTTTCGTACAGACGATTTTGTAAAATCAAAAATTAGACCTGAAATGGAAGAATTAGTGAATGCTTATCGTCCAGATGTATTATGGTCCGATGGTGATTGGGAAGCACCGGATACATATTGGAACAGTACAGATTTTCTTGCTTGGCTTTACAATGACAGTCCTGTCAAAGATCGAGTTGTGGTCAATGATCGTTGGGGAAAGGATACCACATGTAAACATGGTGGTTATTTCACATGCCAGGATCGATATAATCCTGGAGTGTTGCAAACCAGAAAATGGGAAAATGCAATGACTTTGGACAAAGAATCATGGGGATTTAGACGGGAAGCAAAATTAGAAGATTATCTAACAATCGAAGAGTTAATTTTTACATTGGTCAAAACTGTAAGTTGTGGTGGAAATATTCTCATCAATGTTGGACCGACTAAATATGGGAAATTGGTGCCAATTTTCGAAGAACGACTTGAACAACTGGGATCGTGGCTTCATATAAATGGTGAGGCAATCTATGAAACAAAGCCATGGATTAGACAAAATGATAGCATATCATCGAATGTTTGGTATACACAACGCGATTATCATACTATTTATGCTATTACACTTGGGTATCCAACAAACGACACCATCGTTCTTGGCGATGTATATTATAATAACATCAAGTCGATTCAATTATTGGGTGCTAATAAACTGGTACAAATATTGCCAGCTATTCAAGATGGAACAATGATTAAATTTCCTGATCTGAATCCTAATGATAAAGCTCGTTACGCATTTACATTTAAAATTCATTATAAACAATAATAACAATGATGTTTAAGTTCCAAAAACAGACACATTTTATATTTGAAATTTATTCTAATTATTTTCCGTATGTTCCTAATAATGATAAAGTTTTCAATAATTGATTTGAAACCTAATATATTTGACGTATAGATTGATCTATAGTATCATCACATTTCAATTATAATTCAAATCTTAGCAATTTTTCCATTTGTTCCCTGTAAATCATCATTAGTTTTTGCAAATTGTTTTCTTTATGTTGGATACATTCGGTCATTCATCTATCTTTCAGAATGAAAACCCCTTTTCTATGTTGAGTCGATTATCATTCAAAATGAAAACAGTGCAGATTCTAAAGAAAAAGCAAAAAAATCCTTTGCATAATAATTCTGTAATGAAATGAACGTAAATGGTAACAACATTTAGAATGAAGATGCAAAAAAAGATGAAACGCTCAGTCAGTTTGTTATATAAATCAGTGATTTCCAACAACAAGTCAGCAGGATTGATTTTAAGTCTTAAACATATCATGGGACCAATTTTTTTATCAAACAAAAAAAAGTAAAAAAGTTGAAAACCACTGATCAACATGATGACAACCCCAAAGTCATTTCAAGTACTTAAATATTTGTGTTTGTGTATGGTAACCACTTTCACTTACTATGGAATCCTATGTGGATATTATGGTGAATCTCCTGAATTTATTGTTATGATTATGATGATGATGATTATGATCATTACTTGGTATTATCGAGCATGAAAGTAAAAAAGCTCATGATTGCACTAATATATGATGATGATGATGACCCAAAATAAGTGAAATGTCTGTATATGGAATATTATGGTTTCAGAATGGTAATAATAATGAGCATTTATTAGCAACAATCAACCGGAATGTACGCGTGTATATTTCTTTATACGTATAATGTGTCATCATTTTTATTATTGAATTAAAAAAGATTAGATTAAATTCGTTTGAACATCTTTTTCATTCCATTCACTTATTATTCTCTTGGTGATATTGCTTATATTATATTTATATTGACTCATTTCTAACCATCTAAAATGCAGTTATCATTTACACACATACACATAAATGTATTCAGTGGTGATGCAATATGAGACAATTAAATTAAATTTGTCTTCATCGGTGGTGATCTGGTTGTCAGGATCATTATACAATTCAATGTATAATTTAAGTGAAAAAATTCTGTTGTTATTATTGTTAACTGAAGCTATTTAATCTACACTTCATTATTACATTTAGGTTCCATTTCACACCATATAATAACCATAATAATAATAATAATATTTGGATGCTATTATAGCGATGGTTTTTTATCTCTTTTTCTTTCTTACTATCAAAATAATAATCTTGATTACATAGTTGATCATGATTAGTATAGCTATTTTTATTTATATATATAAATTCTTTCAATAATGATACCGTTGAGATGATGACCAAAACCAATATGATATTAAGATAAATATGATGCAAATTAGCACTTAATTTTTAGAAGAATTCAATTCTAGAAAAACCGGCTATTTGGAGTAGTTGGTGGCCAGTAATTCCCTAAAGTCACAAATTTCAGACCAAATTTCAATGATATCTGGACACTACAAATTATAAAACCGCTAATTTGTTTTTTTCATTTATCAATGGAATTTGATCTATCCAGTTATTATTATCTAGTGATGATGAAAATGGTGGATTGTTGGATCCTAATCAATCGAATCAGATACCAACAGTAACGACAACAACTACAACAATATACATCTTATAACGCACAAACAGCAAAAAAACATTTGAGATTCGAATTGATTTGTTTTAGTGAGATCTTTATTTTATTTGAGAAGTAGTAAAAATAGTTTTTCAAAATAGTCTTGTCTGTCTCCAATTGAAATTATCAAACAGGCGATAAATAACAGGACCATGTTTTTTTGAATGTTAATAGGGACATAGATTTGTTCAATTAGATAAGAAAAACCTTTTTGGACATTTGATCTAGAAGTATAGATGATCAAAATCAATATGGCTTCTTAGCGTACAGCCAACAACAAACACAACTGGACCTACAACTGATCAAAACTAGGCAATAATTTTGTTTCTTTTTTTTCTGGTCATAAAAATCTACAAAGATGATGATAATAATGACAAATAGAAAAAACATAGACACATTGATCTTGTGTTATCACATTTACTGTTTTTTTTTGTTTTGTTTGGTCATATTAATTAAGTGAACAATTTTTTTTTGTCGTATTTCGTTGTCGACAATGTCTGGGTGTTTCATTATGATTGTAGTTGTTGTTTCAAGTTCTGGACCAATCTAATGATGATCATCATCATCATCATTATCATTCTCATTGTCATTCGCATATAGAATTCAATGTTTGACGTGGTTGTTGTTGTTGTTGTTTTTTGTCCCAAACAAACACACAACATTAACATTTGGTTCATAGTGATTCTCTTATCGGTCAATCATCCTTCTATAAAACCATATCAGTCAATAAGCCAGTCTGTATAATTTATTTCAATACACAGACATACACACACACCCATAGTGAATGATTCATTGATGAGATGAGATCAGTGACAATCTGATTGAAATTGACCAATATTGTAATATATAGATCATCAATGTTTTCGTTGTTGTTGAGAATATTTTATTTTTATTTTGTTTATGCTCGTGTGTGTGTGTGTTTGTCAGTTATACAACGTTAATAACATCAAACAATGACAATATATCACAGGACAGATATAACAAAAAATATACGATGTTATCATTTATGATAATAGAATCCATAAACACATGTGTCATTGCAATTTATTGATTTTCATTTCCTTATCGTTAATAGTTTTCATTCGTGAATGAATATTTTCTATATAAATTGTACTTGTATTCTTAATCATTATCATCATCAACAACATTAGACGTACAAATGTGATGTTTCAAAATGTTATTTTTTTCAATTTTGTTTATGTAACTTTGATTCTCATTGGACAGAATTTCGAATCAAGTTGAACTATAGTTTTTGTTGTCGTGTGTAGGTCTATGTGTGACAATTTTTTAATTTTCGTTTGTTTGGTTATAAATCTTGTTTTTTTTCTTGTCATTCATCTACGGTAAAATTTTTTAAAAAGTTTATTTAAGAATCTTTTGGAAAAAAAGTGTGAATGTCATTACACAGTGGAGTTTTTTTTCTTATCTCATTTTGGAATCGTAAATGTTATGACATGAGAGAAAGAAAAAACATTCACATCCACATCTATGTATTTATTCTAAAACACAAATTAATTAATTTCAATTTATATATTTACTACTAGTTTTTTTTCGTGTAGTTTCCTATTCAGCAGATACATGTTTTAGATTTGACAAAATAAAAAAAAAACGAAAAATAAAATTTCTGATTTCAAATACAAATCAAATGTTGTGATGGATCATGTGTTCAATGATAAATGAGACAACAACAAAAATAAAACAAATCAAAAAAAGAACCTCGTGAGGAAAAGAGGATTAATTGAAACAAATTAATTTTTTTTGGCTCACACATACACAGAAGCAAATGAGATGTATAAATGAAAAAGAGTTTTTGATTTTTTGATGAAAATGAAAATTTTTGTTTTTTGTGTTTCTGGCGATCTTTGAAAATTTATCATAGAATTGTGTTTGATTCAATTCACAATTCATGGATTTGCGAATGATTGATTGAAAAAAAGATTTGTTTGAAAAGTGAAATTTTCAATAATAATTGTAAATGACATTTTAAAGTGATAAATTGAAATATGAATTTCTATTCATATGGTCATTGAACATTGCATATCTCTGTTAATAATTATGGTGATTATTTTGATGTTTTTTTCTGTCGTTGTTGTTGTTTTTGTTCATCTGAAATCGAAATTTCTAATAATGAATGTTACACCTTATATTTTGGGCATCATTTGATTCATTTCAATCCGGTCAGCTGTACTAATATTGGCCAGATCTTTATAACAAGTTGGGTTTTTTTGTGAAATCATTTATGGCACAGCAAGCGGCCCAAAATGTCTAAAATGTAAATATTTTGGTCATTAGCCTCGTGTCGAGTGTAGTTGTTATTTAAATCTTATATCACTATCATCTTCACAATCAAAAAAATAAAGATGATCAGTAACACATAGAAAATAGAATTTTAAAACAAAAATTCACATCATTTTTCGTGTTACGTTTGTAAATTTGCTATCATTTACCATTATCAACATTGTAGGATATTTGTTCGTTTACCTAAACAAGCAGAATATGTAACCAAGAAAAAAAAATCATATAGCTATTTATATATCCTGAACATGATGAACGATAGGTAAATCTCAGATGAATAAGAATTGAATGATGAAAAAAAAATATTACTAAATCAAACATTTACCTGAACGAAGAGTGATAAATTAGATTGATGATTTTATTCAACTTGGTTTACATTCAGGTGATCAAACTATGGAGTTATTAATTATTGCTACCATTCAAATGTTTTTTTTTGTGGATTTTATCTTGATCAATTCCACACACACCATTATATTGATTTGAGGATGGAAAAAATAGAAAAATTTTTATTCATGATAAATGATGCTGGAATCATTACAAAAATGTTATGTTAAAACATTCAATACGTTTTCTTAGTTATGATAGAAATTCTTGCAACAATCTGAAAGAAAATAATGGATAAATTTTATCAATCAAACAACAAGAATAGATTATTTTTTCATTTTAAAATATATTGCCACCATAAAAGTTAAATGTTTAATGTCTGATTGTTCAATTAACAACCGGCGTACAAACATTCAGATAGAAACATTAACAACGACAATTGTGTGGAGAAAAAAAAATCTTGTGGTGAATTTATTTTTATTGGGATTTTATTGCGAATGATTCATCAATCTAGCTGATGATGGAATCAATATAGAGAGGAATTTAATAGCAAAAAAAAATTTAATTTTATGTTTTATAATTAGGATTATTATCCCTGTTCTAACATACACACAACAGCTCAACCATCACTATCATCATCATCATCATC